CATCGATCGTGCGACTTGGGACATCAGCTCTGACAGTCCTGTTGTGTAAAGAACACCACAAAGTCACATTTTCGTGGCTATAACACGTGACTCTGAGGTCCATGAACGCAGACGGAGTTCAACCCGACGAGAATACAAGACGGCTGCTATATAGTTCTCCAAAGGGACTGACACCCATCTCCATCAGTGCAGTCATCAATATATCATATCTAACTCTATTAAACCAATTCCCAAGCGCTGACGCCATCGTTTCCTGTTTGTTCTGGAACCGTTCATTAACATCACTGGCAAAAGTGGCTACAGTGGACTTTTCTTGGGCAGTAGCTCTCCAAACCTCTTGAAAAAAGCTTCCCCTTTACCAGAATTCTTGCAGCTTGACAGCGACTATCTTCTCTAAGACCTTCCAAGTGTATTTTGTAAATGGATGATTTTAAAACCATCAAGCTTCTTACACATGTTTTATCATTTAGTATCGTATCTTCTACTAGCATTTGTTCATAAATGGTCTTCAGAATGTATCCTTTGTCCAGTATGAGTGCTCCTGTAGCTATCGCTTTTATATTTAAAAAAAAAAAAAAAAATCAGCTTTTTCATTCCTTTACACTCCTGCATTTCCCTGACAGTACACTCATGCGCGTTCCTGTCCTGTAATGCTGATGTTTGGTATCCACACTGAAAAGAACTTAAGACTCACAGAACATATAAGGTGATGTGAGAAAATGAGCACTGTAGATTTGTTTTGCAACAACTCATCTTTTATTTAATCCAATATGTGTATGGTAGCAAAACCCACAACTTGGGTATCTTTGTGGTGAGTTCTGGTTATATGTAACATGCGCTTGAAAAAACAAACAAACCTTGGTCACATGGTATAATTGGGTCAAGCACAAGGATCTAATCCAAGAGTTGTGAGATGTCAACAATGACCATACAATCAAGGGTGAAGACACAAAGAAAACTTTGGGAGATGGGGGAGGGGAACAGTCAGCACATATTTGATATATTTTTCTTCTCTTGACCTCTTGGTCCACTGGAACTTGTTTAGTTCTCTACCAAAGCTCAACATAAGACAGATGTGGTCAGTACCCTTTTGGAAAAAGCAATGGACTCAGAAGCAAAACAAGATTATTATGGCCTGGAAAGAATGAGGCACCTGGGTCTGCACTACACTCAGAGGAAAGGCAAGATGGACATATAAAAAGACACTGCCTTCTTTAATAATGCCCTACAACTAAATCACGATACATTTTGGCTGAGTCCCCTCGAAAATAGGTTACTTGAAGCGTTTCCATGTTGCATTGTGTGACAATATACTTACAAACTTCTGTGTTCTGATTGTATTCGTATTACAAATCGACAAGCGGATATTGTAAAGTGGATATACAAGATTTTCATACTTTGTTTTTAGATTACAACAATTTTAATTCACGGGAGACAGTCGTGTTGTGATGTGTGTGTCACTGTTTCTAGTCAGTAGTTCGGAGTTTGGGGAACTGGCTGTTTATTACTTTTCTACTTATAAATGTAGAAATCTTACTTTTAGAGAAAATACAAACAGGTAATTTAGAAGCCATATTTGGAGAATATCGACAGTTGTCAGGTGCGAACTATCCTGTGTTAGAAGAAAACTATTGCTTTTATATTGACTGTGCATAAATGGTGCAACCACACTGTGGATAAATTGTGTCAAGATATTTCGGAGCTCTAGGTAAGTGGATGAAAATAATATTTAATTTACTAACTAACCTCTCACAGCAAGTCACTCTTTGCCTCTTTACTAATTATTGACTAACAGTATAATTATATGTTGTAGCAGTACACAAATAACATTTATCCTTAACCATTTGACTTATGCTTCGCGAACACTGGCTGTAAACTCTTGCGGAAACTTCTGGTTGTTCATCTACTTCTTATGCATATTTGCAGTTGTACGGTCTTTGTTAATTTTTGTAAACTAGCTTTTGCTTTGCTTCGCGAACACTGGCTGTAAACTCTTGCAGAAACTTCTGGTTGTTCATCCACTTCTTATACATATTTGGAGTTGTACTGTCTGTGTTAATTTTTGTAAACTGGCTTTTGCTTTGCTTCGCGACCACTGGCTGTAAACTCTTGCGGAAACTTCTGGTTGCTCATCCACTTCCTATGCATATTTGTTACCAAAAAATTTGCAATGATAAGGAATTCATTTCATCCAACAAGATGAAACTGGACAAATTTGTTTGTGCTGTTTGTACCTTGAGGATACATATTTAGTAGTGCTATAAGTACTGTTAAGAAAACTACTCTGGGTGAAAAAAGTATTGCACATATCAATTCCATACTGATTGTGCTTGTTTACTAATTATTAAATAACAGTAAAATTATATGTTGTAGTAGTCTACTAAAAATAATAATAACCATCAATCATTTATATTTATGTTATGTATGACATGTGTATGTTTCATAGCAGTATTTTTATGCGCTAAATTTGATAAAGTACAAATGTCTAGTTCTATAAAATATGTCGAAAATTAATGAAACTGTAGTTTAATTTGTGTATACATCTCGATAAAAACTGTGGACGCAGAGGGACTCAGTTCTTGCACAAGAACGGGAATCCCTGTTGACCTGTTAGGCCTATAAATAGAGAAGGCTGTGTAAAAAGATTATAACTGGTAGTATCAGTATTAGAACTCCGCACTTGCTGCTGAAGATGAGGACGGAGCAGGCATAGGAATGCCCAAAGTGCTGTGATGTCAGTTCTTGACTCAACTCAACTCAACATAAGTGATTCTATAATACCATTCAGTTCCCTCTATTCTTTGCAGGCACCAGTCAATGAATGATTGTAGTTTACTAGTAATTGCCCAAGTTGTTCTCCATGTTTCCACTGTATACAACAGTACTGATTTGACATTTGAATTAAAAATTTTAAGTTTTAGTATTAGTTCTAATTTTTGTTTACCTCCACAAATTCCCTAGTGCTATGAAAGCTCCTCTTACCTTTCACTGGCTGTAAACTCCATCAAAAGTTCTGGTTGTTCATCTACTTCTGCATTTTAGCCTTGTTCCAGAAACTGAATTTCCATGCACATCCATTTTACAGATACGTCTTTTTTTGTATGCCACGGCTTTTTTTTGTATGCCAACAGTTGGATTCTTACCTCTTCGGCAGATGCGCTCCAACTTCTGATGAACTGAGAAGATTCATTGTGTGAGCAGGTGCCATCAGGCATCAAGGTAAGTTAGTTTGAAGACAATTATAAACCTCATTATGCCAGTTTTAAGGGCCCATTTGGGGGGAGGGTGAGGGGGGGGGGATAGAGAAACAGATCCACTGCCCCTTAAAAAGCAGGTCATAAAAGATGATTAAGGTTTTTTTAAAATCAGATGTGTTGCACCAAAAGGGTAGACATCACAGCCTTGTTTTAAACCCCCCAAAAAAATAAATATGCTAACCACTCTTTTAATTATGGACAGATGTAGAAGACGATGATGATAAATTGCCACAATCATTCTAAAAGCGTCAAAATAGAATGAGAAGTAGCTACAAGAGACTGAGTGAAGACAGATGATAAAAAACAACAACTGACAAGCAAATTATGTCATCATCATGCAGGCAAGTAAAATAAAGTATATTAGAAACATGGAGAAAAGATAAAACAAAATGATGTGGAGAAAAACAAAACAAACATATTTTAATAAGTGATTTCATAAGAAATGGTCTTCACAATTGTTTGCTTGTGATTTTAACATAAAATGTATGTTCAAGAGATTCTATAAGATCAAAGAAAACAGGCCCATAAACAGCATTATGTCTTCTTCTTCTTCTTTCTGCATTCCAGCCCTTGAGATTCACTGTTCCATATTCATTCATCTCTATGACTGGCCTTCTCTTTCCAGTTGGTAACTCCAAAGGTTTGTAGATCTCCCTGTATATTATCTCTCCATCATCTTTCTGGTCTACCTGTTGTCTACTCCCATTTAACTCTTTTTTTGTACGCAGTTTTTATCTCTCTGTTATCTAGTATTCTCTCTATATGTTCCAAACACTGCAGTCTATTAGTTCTCATGGCACCAGTAAATAGTGATTTCAACAGACCTTGAATTTTACTTGTGCTTCTCACTATCCATCATATCTTGGCAACAAATATTTTTGCTTTGTGAAAGATTATCAGTCAAGAAAAAACAATTATAGTAAAATCTAAGCAAAGAACCCTTTTATACGCCTATTGGGCATATAGGGCTATACACATATTTTATAGACCAATCAGCACTTGGTGAATGATATCCAGCCACCTTTACTTTCCATTACTTTATCTGGTACCCATTCAAGGCTGAGCCGACATGGGAATCAATGACATTTTTGAAAGACAAAATCTGTCTCTGCCAGGACTTGAACCCATGACCTTCTGATTTGCAGATGAGCATCTAGCCGCTACATCATGGTGGCTCCCGAAAGAACAGTTATAGGAAGCATAATTCCTGGAAGAAGAGAAATTGGTCCACCAGCACATAGGTCTTGGACATAAGATAAAGAAACGTTGGCCACAAAGATACACCAGGCAGGAGGATGTAAGATTTCAAGAGCCTTTCAGGTAGCCGGGAATGATGTTCTGTAAAGGACCTGTTTCATGATGATGAACGGCAGTGATATATATATGTTTTTTCCCGCTGGGTTCCGGGGCCCTATTATAGGGAAAACAAGAATAGACCCACTGTTTTCCCAGAAGCATGTCATAAAAGTAGACTAATTGGGAGCTTCCTCCAAAGTCAGAGTGCATCTACCTGACAGGCAAGGAACCAACAGTCTGCATACAAATTAGTCAAATATGTCAAACGGATGCACATGCAACACTCAGGTTATGGAACAGGACTTCGGTACAGAAGTGAACAAACAACCAGAACTTTCCGCCAGAATTTATAGCCGGTGAACGCGAAGAAGTATATTTGTTTTAATAAGTGTAATTTAAAAAAACAATAGCAATGTCTTTGAAGCATAGCAAACATTTATTTTATTTCATTTTGACTGAATGTGTCAGTGAGATTCCTGCACGTATGCTCCAGGTTTCTTGTACCATGCTCTTTCTGTACCGCATGTAAAGAACCCTTTACCACAGCTTCAGGCATGTAGGGCTAGACCTATAATTTATAGATCGATCAGCTCTCGGCGGGTGATGAGGTAAACCTCAGGCTGACCTCTTTTACTTCCCAGTGCTGTAAAGCATGTAACAAAGGCTGAAATTTTAGCTATCTATTATATTCAAATTGAATGTTGAATTAAGAATCGACATCACAGCACTCAGGACACTCCCATAAGCGCTCCATCCCCATTTTAAGCAGCAAACCAAGAGTTCCAATTCTGATGGTACCAGTAACTGTCCGATTGTACATCCATCTTGTCTTTCCTTTGAGTGTTGAGCACCGGCCAGATTCCCCCTGGTAACTCCCCAAAACGCCATTCTCCTCGTTCTCAAACTGAGAGAGATCAGAGGTGCTGGACCGAAATTTATTCCTAACATTAAAAAAGACTGGATAGCATGGAACATAACAGAGAAATAGACATCAAGCCCTTTCATATGTAAATGGCACAGCATGATAATGAAAATTATGATTATATGTAAATCATCTCTTATGCTTCCCGTGCGGTTTCCAGGACCCCATTTTTAAGGACAAAAATAGACCCCCTGACCCTTAACAAGCATGTTGTAGATTGCGACTAATTAGGGGTATTTCCTTTAGAGTTGGAATGCATCTGCCTGAGAAATAATTTAAAAAAAAACACACAGTAAAAGACCCTTTACCACGCCTTCAGGCCTAGTGGGCATGTAGGGCTAGACCTATATTTTATAGACCAATCGGCACAAGATGGGTGATGTGGTTAGCATCACTGCTGGCTACCTTTACTTCCCAGCATTGGAACCCGGTACCCGCTCAAGGTTGGGTCGACCTGTGAGTAAGGATCTGCCTGAGGGGCTGCATCTATATCATAAACCTTTATTCTGTGTAAAAGTTTTTCTATTTCTATCTGTGTCAAATGTTTCAGATATTCTTCTGTAGATAGCCTGATCCCAACGCTTTTTTCCTGTGTACTTTAAATCCTTTCTAATAAAGATATTCTTCAGTGCCCTGATGCCAAACTGACGATCCTTTCTCATGGTATTAAGTGCATCTCTTTTTTTTTTCACCTTAACTGATTCTGTCGCTTTAAGACATCATGTTCACATGTATTTAAACAATGTATACAGGAAATTAACAGTTTGTAACAAACAAATAACAATTTGGTTTTGTACCAAATAATTACTATTCTGTGATTAATAGAGGGTATAAGAATATCCAAGAAACATCATGCATGTATTATTTTATTTTATTTACACAGCCACCAAATAACCTAAAATAAATATTTAAAAAAACCAATAGAACTTCAGAAATTAATGAAGATTCTTTACTAGGTTCACCTCAGACAGTGATCAGTCTCACACATCAGAACAATCAACAATGTGCTACACGTAGCCGCACAAGTACTCATTCACAAGATCCAGTAACGAAGGAAGAGAAGGAAGAGGATGACCACAACAATGACCGCAGCAATTTTAGCGTACGATGATCTCATGTTCAGATATTTGGCATCTTTCTTGTATTTCAGGGACTGGCTGGACAAGTGGCTGGCCTTGGTGTCCAGAACTGCACAGAATATAAATGTACATATTGTCAATGATTTGGTCATTGATCGTATCATTCAAAATTCTGCGTAAAGAATCCTTTTCTGCGTCCTTAGAAGTAGTGGACATAGTGTTTGACCTACATTTCATAGATCAACTGGCACTCAGTGGGTGACGTGGTCAAAATCATGCCAGCCGCTTTTACTTCCCAGGATTTTACCTGGTACCTATTTAAGGCTGGGTCAAACTAGCAGCTAAGACAATTTTAATATTCATTGTATAACAATAAATCAATCAATATTTCTGATCAATATACAGACAAAAGCTTTCATCTATGAAGATAAAGATAAATTTCAAAAGAGTATTAATTTATTTTTCAAAAATATGAAAAATACAACTTGAAAATTAGTAGACAAAAAGCTAATATATGCTAACAAAATCATGATAGTTTGTGGTCCCATTTTGGGGGTTTAAAAAACAACAACAGACACACTATCACTTCATAAACAAGTATGTTGTAAAAAGTGACTAATTAGCTTCTTCTCTAGTTCTGTACTGCCTTTCAGCGTCAGGGTCTCAAGGGTCTTCAGGTGAGAGTGTTAGTATGTGTTTCATAGGTGCTTGTATTTACAAGTTAACTGTTTGCTGAAATTGGATATGTTTAGCTGAAAGCAGCAGATATTGTAACCTAGCTGTAAACCACAACATAGCATGCCAACTGCATTTTTAAGGGTGAGCGCAGAAGAAGAAGAAGAGGAGCAGGAATAAGATCACTGCTATCATATTTCAATTGCATACTGGACACAATAGACTCTACAGCCATATGTACACAAAATTCAAGATTGGAATTCAAAACGTTGCCCATGTGTTCAGGCACTACATAATACTGAACATTTGATACAGACATGCTCTCTATATGCAGTATCCCAGGTTCGGCATGTTGGCATTACAATGGAAAGCAAGCTGCATGGCCAGTGGCCTTCTCATGTGAAAACCACTGGCATGGATAACAAACAGAAAACCCTATCATTATCATATCCCAGGTCTTCTGCAGATTGTTACTCTCATCAATATCTGCCAGGAAGACTCCCCATCCCCGCACCAATTCCCCTGCCCTCCTTCATGTGTTTTCATGCTCAAGCTGTTAACAGTGTTTTGCATTCACCCTTGTGCTGGCTCTGTCCAGGAAAGGTACCACAGACTTTCCAAGAGTTAATTAGAAAAGAGACATGATACACGAGATAACGAGTGATCCCTGTGCTGGTCCTGGAGTCCATCTGGGGGGAGGGGGGGGGGTGTGTGGGGGGGGGGGGGAAGACCTACAACTACTTTAATAAGCATGTTGTCAAATGTGATTAACTAACAGTGTGATGCAATTTGATGTGCTTAGCTGACAGGTGCAGCGATTGCAGCCTAGCAGAAAAGTACTACAAATGTGCCAAGTGCATTTTTAAGGAAAAAGAAAACAGAAGATGTAATCAATGAGTATGAAGAACATACTTTAAAACCTTAATTACTTTGCAAAATATATGAATACAAATCGAAAACTGATTATCATGAAGCTATAATGATATAAATCAATGTCTGAAGCTAAAATGATATAAATCAATGTCTGAAGCTAAAATGATATAAATCAATGTCTGAAGCTAAAATGATATAAATCAATGTCTGAAGCTAAAATGATATAAATCAATGTCTGAAGCTAAAATGATTTAAATCAATGTCTCTATCAGTTCCCAGTGGGGGTTTTGAAGCCCTATTTGAGGGTTAAAAAAAACAGACCAACTGCCCCTTAGCTCTTTCAGCAGCAGACATTTTCTATCTATGATAACAACAGCCTCAGAGTCTGTCTTCTTATTCTTTCTGTCAGTGGTTTTCAGATGAGTAGACCACAGGCATGTCATAGATAGGGAATAGACAAAACTCTTGTTTGGTTCAGCTGAAAGATGCAGATACCATAATCTAGTTGTAAACTACAACACCATGTGCCAACTGGGCTTTTAAAGATAAATGCGGAAGAAGGAGAGGAAGACATCTATCTATATTTTATATCCTTTTATGTCACGGTTGACACATAAGGCACTCACAAGTGATCTCCACCGCTGCCGGTCTGCTGCTTTTCTGCCCATGGTATCCCATGTCAGTTTACATTCCTTCATTTCCTATTCTATTGTCCTTCTCCAGGTTTCCTTAGGTCGTTCATGTCTCCTTTTCTCATCTGCTGTCTACCGGAGAGCTGTTTTTGCCAGAGTGTCACAAGGCATTCTGCAAACATTTCCAAGCCATCTCCATCGTCTTACTTTGATAACATTTGCCAGTGATGCAAATTCTGTTTTCCTCCTCAGTTCTTCATTTGTGATCTTGTTTACCTAAAATATTCGTAGAATTCTCCTTAAACAAGTTTATGTGTAGAAAGACAGATGAAACATATATTCGTCAATGGACAAAAACTATGACTGACCTGATAAAGCTTCGCCTCTCATCAACACGTCATCAATGTTCTGAACCATGATCCTCTGGACATCCTGCAGCTCCGTATTGATCTGTCCAAGGTTACGCCTCGCCCTGGAGTCCATGTAAGACTTTCTTGCTTTTTGCATGTATGTGTCTGAACAGACAAAATATATTGGAATCTCAAATACATGATTTTTCCCAATTATAAGTCAGAATGGTCAAACAACAATTAACCCCCCCCCCCCCCTCCCCAATTTTTTAAAATGTATTGTATTGGTAAAGGAATATGCAGCCCTTTATAAAATGAAGAATATTCTACACCAGGGCTATTCAACTGGCGGCCCGCGGGCCAAATCTGGCCCGCCGAGGCCTAGCAAGTGACCCGCCGATCGTTGCCAAAATAGCGAAATGTAGTTATTGAAAAGAACAAAAATTAAATCACTCAATGTTTCTGTATATTCCTCAAAAACCAGTCGTGTCAAATGTGTCAGTTGGAAGTGTTTGTCAGGAATCTGTAAATACGAAGGTACAAGGGAACCAGCATAGGAACAGAACAAGTAATTTGATCAGGGTAAAAGTTCAATCCCGGTTCTCTCAAATAGCAAAACTCGCCTTTTTGAAGCCAATGGTAATAAGATAGGCTGGAAAGTACCAAGTAACAAGCGGAAAGGCCACCGCTGCACTGGACATTCAATGAAGGTGAGATATTTATTGGACATGAGGCGTAGGGAAATACCAACACGTTCCTGACAGTTAGAGCTTAGATTACAGAGAATCTCTTCTTAATGGGCGCCACAAACTAATGCCATTGGATGCAGCAGAACATCAGACACTGGACACGGCAGAATACCTTGTTATCAGATTACAACGTCCAGAAGAACGTTCAGTCACATTCACAGTCACAGTCATACGTAGATTGTCGGACGCGATTGTACATTAACAAACTGAATCAGTAACAGTGTTTTAAATTATCTACTTTTAATAATTTAGTTTAAAACTTGATGCCATGGCAAGCACTAGTGAGCGAGCAAAGTGGGCATGTGAAAAACGTGCATTCAGCAGTGACCCGACACTGAAATATGTTTTTATATCGCCAACTCTGCCTAATTCGAAACCAGTATGCTTGCCATTTTATTTCTTCAACACTGGACTCGGCAACCGATCGATGAAATAAATATTTTAAAAAAGCTTTAGAATAATTTAAACAACAGATTTGACGACTTCAATATCTCAAACAATGTAATGTTATTTGTTCGGGATCCTTTTAAAATCCCTCCTGCGTGTGATTTTTGTTCCAGTGCTAAGAAGTTGATATCCTCTGTTGATGCAGGTTCTCTGCAGTTAGAACTTGTGGATATGCAAATTTCCAGCGCAGTAAATGAAGATTTTCAAGAAAGTGGTACAGTCAAGTTTTGGAACGAGAGGATTCAACAGGAGCAGTTCCCTAATGCTAGAAAACTTGCTATATTCATACTCACCATGTGAATCAAGCTTCTCACACATGAATATCATCAAGACAAACAGTCGAACTATAGGCTGCAGGACTGCATGAGAATTGCTCTAACTTCTCACCAGCCAAATTTGGCAAAATTAGCTCAAAAAGGGAAATGCAGCATTTCCCATTAATTACATTTTGCATCCTTATACCTTTCAGTTTCTTCTGCAGAACATGAAACCAACTGTGGACAGTTATTATTATTATTATTGTGACAATGGTAACGTTTATTTATGATCCCATCGACAAGTTGGAAATAGGTGTATTTCAATTAAAAGCGATCCCCGTGTGGGTTCCGGGGCCCTATTGTGGGGAAACCAGAATAGAATCACGGCCTACCCAAAAGAATGTCGCAAGAGTCGACTAATTAGGAGCTTTCTTCGAAGTCGGACTACATCTGCCTGAGAGCCAAGGAACCTAGTCTGCATGCAAATGAGTAAGACCTGTAAACCGGATGTGTATGCAACACTCAGTTTCTGGAACGGGACTAGAGTCCAGAAGTAGACGTACAACCAGTACTTTCCGCTGAAGTTTACAGCTGGTGAATACGAAGAAGAAGAAGAATTAAAAGTGAGTATTAAATAATCATTACAGAAGATTGTAGTACACTTTACATTATAATAGTTTACAACACTGCTACATTTATATAGGCCACGTCCTAGGCTTAAAAGTTTTCGAGTGTATTAAATCTACAGATTGAAAATGTTGTCAATTGTAGTGTGGGCTCGGGCCGCTGGCCCGCGACGGTCTCCATGTTCAACATTTTGGCCCGCGAGCAAACTTAGTTGAATAGACCTGTTCTACACAATCTTGTGCTGTCAACTGAAATGAGAAAGAGAATTCTCAAGAGCTTTATTATCAAATCTTGATATATGGAAGTGATCAGTTAGATATTTAGTGGTGTGGAGATGTTTTATAGATAAATAGTGAGAATACCCTGGATAGATTTAAAAAAAAAGTAACGAAGAAGTCTTGAAATAAACTGACTGTCTACATCAGAAAGAGACAATCTACCTTCTTTGATCATGTCATGAGAAGGAGAAAAACTAGAACATCAAGATGGTGGGAAAGAGGCAGAAGGAGAGTGAGAGATAAGATGCTGGACAGTTTGATATCATCGCATGGTAGATCATCTAGGGTAGTGGCCCATTCTGAGGAACATCCGGCCGGATGGCTAAGAACCCTGGGTTCTCAAGCGTGAGACCCAGGTTCTAATCCTAAGTAGGGTCAGGGATTTTTGTCTGTCGAGGGTAAAAATAAAATCCACCTCTCTACGGCCATAAATCTTTAGGCTCAAACACACCCTGCCTACACCGCAAAAGTTGTAAATACAGGTAGGTATGGCAGTTCTTTTTTATTGTGAGGAGGGGGGGGGGGGTGAGGGAGGGGTTGGCAGTGGCCTATTCCAGCTGTTGTAAACTAAAAGTATGGCTGAGCTGCGGACTGACGAACTCATCCTGTAACAAACTATAGCCACAGAATCAACCAACTAATTTAAGTAAACAAAGAGGTGAGGAAGCTGGTGTAGGATAGGACACACATTGAGAAAACCTGAACAGAATATAACTAGAACGCCCTGGCACTGAAATCTAGAGGGTGAAAGAAAAACAGACCCCAAAAAAATATGGAGAACAATAACAGAAAATGAGGTGAAAATGATCCTGATGATGTAGGGTGAACTACATGTTATAGCAAAGGATAGGATGACTTGATGTGAGTTGGCTGAAGGCCTTTGACTGATCCACTGAAGGACTTTAGACCACAATGAAAAAAAAAAAATATATGTAGCCAGACACATTCAGAGTGACAACATCGCAATAAGCTACAACTCTCAGCACTTGACACAACAAACAGCTTAAGCCATTAAACTTGGCACAAATACAATCATACCACAATTATAACCAAAGCTGTTCTGAGTAGTGTTGAATGTGGTCAAATTATTTTCTACCAAACTAACCATAACAATAAAGAACATGCACACTGGCCAACCTAGTTTTCTGTTCCTATCTGACAAGGTTAGGTATCCAATTCATTATTCCGGGGTCAGGAAGGAGGGAGCATAACATCCTCTGATTCCATATTTGCTTTTTGTGTGTAAAATTGGTATTACAAAATTACAAAGAGTCAAACAAACACTTACCAAATTCAATGAAGGAGTAAGGCCTAGTGACGGTGTCGATCCGTGAACCATACTGGGAGTTGAACTCCTGCTGGACATCTTCTAGGTAGGAGAAGGCTAACCGTCTAGAGAAGGTCTTGTCGCAGAGAACCAGGTAAATGACACTTCTTTCTATGAGGTAGCTGCACAGAAAGCATACATACCAATGTTATGGATTCTATTATAGGAATGCTCGACACAGAAAAAAGGGCTATCCTCCGAATAACGGTCCTAAATTTTCGAAAATATACCCTAGCAGGGGCTCAGTCATGTGTCAACTGCACACTTCCGGCGACCTCCGCTACAGCCGGGAGTATTCCCATGCCGCGTGGATTCGGGCTAAACTAGATGGCTGGGACTCACGAGCAGCAGCTACCGCATCTCCTGAAGCTTCCTTTATTTTATTTGCTTGTGGGTACCAGCCATCTAGTTTAGCCCCAATCCATGTCGCGCGAGCGGTGTGGGGATTCTCTGGGCGGTGGCGGTATAGTCCCCGGAAGTCTGAAATTGACATGTGACTGAGCCCCTGTTAGGGTGTATTTTCGGCCTCGATAATTTGGGACCGTTATTCGGAGGATAGCCGAAAAAAAGTATTATAATGTACCTAAATCTGCTTACAGAAAAATTGTATTGGGCTGATTCTTCTGTAGGGTTGTGAAAGCGGAACCGTGAGCAGTGAAATGATTACCAAACTAGAGACAGTGGAAGCGTGAATTTTGAGAATATTATACAGAGAGAGAGAGAGCGGCGTCCATGGCTAAGGCGTTGCGAGTCCGACTCGAAAGCCAGCATACCGCGATCGAAACCCAAAGCAGGCGGCGTGGATTTTTATCGTGGTATGGGACGTCGCAGGTCGACCCAGCCTAAAATGCGTACCAGGATGGGTTGTCCTGGGAAAGTAAAGACAGTCGGCGTAATGCTGACCTCATTACCCACCGAGTGCTGATGGTCTGTAAAAATATGGGACACTCTGCCCATTTGCTCGATGCGGCGAAAGGCGTGAAAAGGGATCTTTACTCTTTACTTTTATACAGAGAAAAGGAAGCAAGCATAAAGATATTGAGTGCTGCAGGTGTGAATTTTGAATTCAGAATTGACATCATAGTACTCGGGACACTCCCATAAGCGCTTTATCCCCAGCTTCAGCAGCAAACGAAGAGTTCTAATTTTGATGACCCCAGTAACTGTCTGATTGTATATATGTCTCACTTTTCCCTTGACTGTTGAGCGTCGGCCATATCCCCTGGTAACTCCCAGCAGCGCCATTCTCCTCAGACCATAATGATCTATTTGCGCTTCCGCACTGTTCACTCGCTCCCAGAGGGCCCTCATAACATCTAGCTTGCCATACATCAGTTCACCATCAAGTGGTGCAAAACCGGCCAGTCTATCTGCCTGCTAATTTCCCAACACACCGGCATAACCTGGAGAGAATATCTAAAGGATGTTAACTACCCGGGACCTCTGAATTTATGCTTGCCACTCTGCAAGGAGCATACCTGTCTCCACCTTTCTCGACATGCTCAGTGAGTCAGTTACAATCACTACATGTGTATACAACTGATTCTCAAGCCAGCAGAATGCAGCAGTGATTGCCTCCACCTCCATTCTTAAACTAGACGTTGTGATATCATACGCCAAGCTTTGTAGCACTAAGCAACGTCTGTTCGTGTTTGCTATACTAGACAAGAGAAGCAGAGAAGGGCAGAGAAAGACCAATATATCAGATGGAAATCAGTGGATTGGAGATCAGTTAATGCTGGTAATATCTGCTTTAGACTAGACAAGTGAAGAAAAGAAGAGCAGGAGGAAGAAGAAGAAGACAAGGAAAAAGAAGAGGAAGAGCAGAAAAATGAGGAAAAGAACCGGCATAGGCACAGTGCTAAACTTACTGAAACAAGTACTGTCCTGATTCTAAAGTGTATCTGACGGGAGGGTTGGGATCCTGGGAAATTTTGCGAAACAACTGCTTGGCTTGCGCTTGATACTCCATTAGATTGCGACCAGACTGTAGGCATAAAAACATGACAAGCCAATTAAACAGGATAGGAACTTAAAAACAACCAAGATGAAAATATTAGGTGAGCCGGGTACAATAACAAAGGATAGGACAACTTGGCGTAAGGCGGTTGACAATCTATCTCCATTAGGGAATAAAGGGAAAAAGAAGAAAAAGCAGGTAAATAAATTCTCACCATAAACCAGGAGGTACTTTACAAAACACAGCTCTCGCCATGGCATGCCTGAAAGTCTCTTTCTCGACCAAATTCTCCAGCCCAATGTGGTTTTAGGGTCAATGCATCTTTAATGTTTTGTATCCACACTGGTGGTGGTCTGTCTCTGCCTCGTTTTCTGGAAACTGTACTCTCCATCACTGTTCTCTCCAAGCCACCATGATGTTTAACATGGCCAAAATACCTCAACTTTCAGAAAAAGATGCCGTTTATGAGCCAATTCTCCTCTAGTGTTCAGATCATATAGGACAGCGATTCTCAACCTGTGGGTCATGACCCCTTAGGGGTCAAACAACCATTTAAAAGACGGTCACCAAAGGCCGTCAGAAAACACATAATTACTAAAGTTCCGAAGTAGCAACACAAATAATTTTATGGTCGGGGGTCACCACAACACGAGGAAGATCTCATTTCCATAGTTGCTAATTTTCTTTTCTGGTTTGTTGTGAGTGATTATGTCTGGTCCTGCTAGCATGGTATGGTAATGAATATGCTTTGTAAGAGATGTTTCTTTATGTTGAACAGGACTGTCTTAAGCTGTAAATGGAGGGGTGGGAGTTAGCGATCACATTTAGATATAATACCTTGTGACGCCATGCTATACAAGACATACATCAAAAGATTATAAGCATCAATAAGAAATAAATGCATTTAGGTAACAGAAGGATGAGACAGAACAAATGTATACCATGCATTATCATCATCATCAAGTGCCTTGACAGCTTGCATAGCCAGCTTACGTAGGTGTTCATGCATCTCCACAGATCTCGGTCTTTGGTGTTCTGGACTAATTGCCCTGACCATATTCCTCCATGCCAATGTCTTAAGCCATCCACCATTATTTCTCTTGGTCTGCCTCTGCCTCTTCTGCTAGTCGTCTTTCCAGTCATCACAATATTTTCCAGATACCACATAAAGAGTTACAAATAAGCCTACACTGAGTAGTTTGGTACTGACAGACTGGAACTATGTACCTGTTCATCCTCCTGGACAGAGGCGGACAGCAGCAGACCATCAGCCACCCTGGCAATCATTGTCAACAGCACCATGTTGGTACAAAAGCGAGGACCAACAGCTTCAATGTCAGGTCAAGGGCAGTGACTGCTATATGTTTAACTGCCAGGTATCTGATTTCACAAATGCTATGCTCCAATAGCTAAAGACTGAATATATGTTACAAAGTTAGTATGTTAAGAAACTGTAAATCTCAATTTAGCTAGCATGCAAGTATGTAAACTAAAAGCCACATTTTGAATAAAGTAAAGGAGACTTGGCCACGCTTTCAGGCGTATTGGTCACATAGGCTTGACATATATTTCTTCTTTGTCTTCTTCTCGTTCACCGTCTGTAAACTCCAGCAGAAAGTTCTAGTTATTTGTCCATCTCTGGACTATAGTCTTTTTCCAGAACCTCTAAGTGTTGGGTGCACATCTGTTGAACAGATCCGAATTAATTATATGCAGATTGTTAATTCCTTGCCTTACAGATGGATGCGCCAAAATGGGGCCCCGGGACCCACACTGGATACCTATATTTTATAAACCAATCTGCACTTAGTCATCCTCATCATGTGCCCTGCCAACTGGTGTAGTCGATCATGCATCTCTACAGATCACAATCCCTGGTTGACTGGAACTCCATGCCATCGTTTCAGCCCAACCAGCATAATCTCTCTTGGTCTGCCTTTACCCTTTTTTCCCACTGACCTTTCCAGTTGTCATGATGTTCTCCAATGTCTCTCTTCTCATTATGTGGCCAAAGAACAGTGTTTGTCTCTTTCTTATTGTTCTTTCATTAGCCTCTTTCAAGCAATCGTTGTTAGTTACTCTGGCTGTCCAAGGCATTCGTAACATTCCACTCAGAAACCACATGTCTGTTGCTTCCAAATTCTTATTAATTTGTTCACTGACTTTCCAAGATTAGCTGCCATACAGCAGAACAGGTTCTATGTAACATTTTAGCTCCCTCTTTCTGACATTAAATGAGAGCGATTTATTGCATAAGATATTTTTCATTTCCTGAAATGCAGCTTTCGCTCAACCTATTTTGCTTTTAATCTCTGTCACACGCTTTCCGTCTGATGATATGACTGTTCCCAGATATTTAAATTTATTGACTTGGCTAAATATTTTTCCTTCAATTGAGATATCACAACGTGGAATTATCTTTTTTCTTTGATATAAGTATTACTTCTGTTTCTTAATATTCAATGAAAGTCCTTTCTTAGCACTCTCCATCCCCACAATATCCAGCAGTTGTTGTAAATCAGTTGCAGTTGCATTATCAAAACTGTATCGTCTGCGTAACGCAAATTGTTTACATTGTTTCCTCCAACTCTTACTTATACATTCTCTTTAATTTCCCTCAAAATTCTACACTGAGTGTTTGAGGATATTGAATATATTATAATATCAGAATGTTCTAGTGTGGGTTTCAAGGCTATTTTTTAAACAAAAGGTTTAAAAGATTCTTTTCTTCTTTGGTAACACATGAGCAAATCATGAACAAGGTAACACAACATGGTGTAATTTGTATTGATAAAACCTATGAAATTCTTGATAATCTGCTTTTTATTTACTGTTGTGCCCTTATATGTCATACAGTCTATTTCTACATTATATCCTATGCCAACCCTTCAATTTATTGGATTAAATTCAGTCCAGCCTCTTTGGCCTCTCTCACCAACATTAATTTTAGGGTTTATTTTAAATGTCCACGCTATCTTTAGTTCACATTATAATGCCTGTTCGGTAATGCTCTGCTCCGGTTTTTTCTAGGATTGGTCCAATATAGCACCATCTTCTTTATCTTATAACTGTTGTTACTAGTGCTTGTCCAGACATTTCTCTTACTTCTGTTTATGTTTATTCAATGCATCAACATCATGGCACATTGACAGTAATCCATAATCACTCTGTTCTTCTTCTAACCCAAGCCTGAGTAAAAAGAAACTCAGCGCAGTGCACGCACTCTATTGCACCTGATTGATCTGTACACTATTGTTTATATTTCTATGATATAATGAATTATTTTGGCATCTAGTTCTTTACTTAAATTTACTTTTTTAGTAAGCAAGTACAGACGATTAGTTATAACAGTAACAAAACCAATATCAAGTCAAACAATAACTTTGGCAGAAATTGTCTCGCAACCAGGGGCTTTTTTTAGAAACAAATTATGTGCTGGAATTAACAGGAAAATGCCTTAAAAGGTGCCAGTGCTCATCATAAAGTGCCTATTACTGTAAGAAATGATGTCTAAAAAAAAGGTGATAGTTATAGTGCGTACCACTGATAATCTTAGGGAACAAAAACATTTACAATGCAATGATTCAAGTAAATAAACTCAAAACTCAAATTTTCAAGATCCTTGTATGTTTGTTTTGTAAATCTCTTCCACTACTGTTTCATAAAAACAAATCAATTATCTCTATGAGAGAGTGCATTTGGATTTTACTTTATTCAATTTCAATTAGCAGCTAATGATTTATCATTATGTTTAGTAATTATTTGGGCAGTCAATAAAAAAAAAGTGTTCGCCATAAAGTTTGCAGTCTTGTATTATTATTAATAAGTTGCGAGTTATACAGTGTAGGTTAACAACCGACATCATTTTAGGTTAACAACCGACATCATTTTCATAGCACTCTGGACATTCCCATAGGTACTTCACCCCCATCTTCAGCAGCAAGTGCAGTGTTCTATTGGTATTACTACAGCGATTAGATTTACTAAACATGTTATGATTGTTATGGTAGAGGTAGTATCAGTAGTTAGAGTGGTGGTGGTAGTAGTAGTAGACATAGTAGTAGTAGCAGCAGCAGAAACAGCAGACAGAGTCTCAGAGAACAGAAAAATGAAAACTGAAAATCAGCGATAAACACCCGGTGACACGAAGTACCGCTGTTCAGATGAGAATCATCCTAGCACAAGTCCCAGAAATTAAGGAGATCAAACACTTCACTAAGAATCCAAGGAGTCCTAGTATTTGTCTTGACTCTTGAGTAACGACTGGTGTAGGTAACATATTGAATAATTAATTAATTTAGATGCTGGACTCTATATTCTGGCGTATGTAATGCACTCACAATATATTAATTATATACGAAACAACGGAATCTGAGGATTTCAATCACATAAATGCCATATATGTAAAGAATCATCAAGGAAACACAACATGATATTACAGGAAAATACCTTGACGTATCCACAGTTTCGTGTTTCTAGTTCTGCTGGCAAACAACTATTCTATCTCTTCTGTCTGGAGAGGTCGTCACGGGAAGCTACTCTGGAATTCTCAGTCAATCCAAGTGCAAGAACTCTTTGAACTTGTCATCTTTTCTCTTGAGGAAACCGCGGTGGCGTAGCGATTAGCAACCCTGCCTCCGGTCCATTTCTTGGGTTCAAATGCACATAAGGGATATTTTTTTTCAACAATGACCTTGGCTCCCAGGTCAACCAAGTCTATAATGGGTACCAGGTTAAGTGTTGGGGAATAAAAGTGACAGGCGGGATGTTGACCACATCATTATCAAGTCTATAAGTATAAAAATATGAGTCTCATTATATGATCGTCGCACCACTAGTGTAAAAGAGCCCTTTCACTACAAAAACCGATGTACGTGTCATAACTATCTACGTGTCTGTGGCTACAGTGTACCATTGTTGTTATTTTATCACAATCGTCTGTACATTGAGCATCCCCAGGCGTATTCTATCCTCCGATGCAGCATCCACTCAAAAATACCGATACTGATTGTCCCATGAGGAGTTGGTTGTAGTATCTCCAGTCTTTACCTCGAAGACGGCAAGGACGTACTTCACCAAGCTTAACTCATCGTTCACACAGTCGTGTTATCTTCCACAACCTCATCCACCACACAGCTACAGGGAAACCAAAACAGCACTAAAGCAGTCTTTCAAACGGGAGTGGAGAAAGCAGAATAGAGATTACAGACCAGAGAGTGACAGCATAAACAAACTCAACAGAAAAGAACAAACATCAATTTTTAGACTTCGGACTGGACAGTCGAGCACACCTGTACAGGATAAGCATAAAAGAATCTGCTGCCTGTGATTGTGGAGCAGAAAGACAGACCCCTGAGCACATACTACAGTACTGCCCTTACCTCTCCCAGCAAAGAATGTGGAACTGGCCCAGGGGATCCACATTGCGAGAGAAGCTATGGGAGACCGGTGGCGACCTTAAACGCACAATCCTATTTGTGACCCAGACGGGACTCAATGTGTAGCATGACTGATGTCAAACGCAGAAGAAGAAGAACAGTAGTGTTAGCGTCCGAGATTTGCCATTATTTCCCCATCCTAGTCTGTACAGCGTTAGTAATATCAGCTTTGTTTATGCTTCTTTCCGTTTATATTGGTGCATTACTTACTAGCTGGTCAGCTCTTTCATTACCATTTACTCCTGAGTGACCATGTGTGTAGATCCAGATGAGGGAGGTTAACTGCGACTTCCGAATGCTTTCTACCCAGAGCGTCGATTACCTACAGCGATTTTCTGAAGAGTGTTCATAGAGTCGTTGGGGGGGGGGGGGCGGGGGGGGGGGGGTTACCTAGTCAGTAGTGTTTTTAGTACGCTTGTCCCTATAGCGAGGCGCACACGCCGTCTGGAGGTGACAGGTTCGATTCCCGACGAAGTAACTATGGCTTTCGGTTTTTATGTTGTCAAGTGGGTCTTTCTGTCTTTCTATGAGTTCTAATCAATACATTGTCTCTTTGAATTATTCATAAAGACTGCATCGATAATCGCATGATTTTATGTTCTGCTACCATACGAGTGATCTGGAAGCAGCAGTTATCTCCATGGTCATGCTTGACATAATTGTATGGTAAGCGCCGCTATCATTTTTTGTTTTCCTTTTGTGATGTGTCTGCCTGTGCTGGTCTTAACCCGCGCTTCACGGACCCATGTGTGTAAATAACGACGTCTTATAAATGCGGTGAAGCCCCAACCTCTTCCACCATGCGACTCTCTTCCAAAAACCACAAGGACAATTTGTTGTTGTTGTGTTTGTTGTTTTAGTATC